GGAAGAGAAAAATAAGAAAAAGAAGAAGAAGAAGGAAATGAAGAAAAAAAGAAGAAGACGAAGAAGAAGAAGAAAATTAGGTATGCTATTTCCCTAATTCTGCAAAATGTCATTTAAACAAAGAATACAAAAGTGCGATACAAGCAAAACAGGAACAGGAAACAGGAGATAGCTATTGGAAATATGGGATATACCATGGCCGCCTGTCGGGACAGACTTCTAATGTAGCTCTTACATTGTGTGACATTATTTAGGCGTTTATTGAGGTATCAGATGACTAAGTATTGTCCAGATCATGTTTAAAATTGTTTACATGTGAGATTGTAATGCTCTTTTGTTAACACAGGAATTATTTTGACGAAGTTGACACTAAGAACTTCACACACCTGACCTGAAGCTTGATTTCAAGACAAGAGAGTCTCAGACAGTAGTACAGTAGTCAGTAGACATTTTAAACGAAAACAGTTTTTTTGTATTTTTAAAATTGTTTTTTTAGTCGTAATGAGTTAGCTATACCAAGACCAGAGTAGTTCTAGTTTTATTATAGTTATCATATTATGCTGAGCTGAAAACAGGACATCCAAATAACATTTGATTTGAATTTGAGCTGAAAAATTCCTGAACGGAACATCTCAAGTTTAGTCAACCTCCACCCAGAACATAAATATAAAAATTTAATAAAATTAATATGATATATTATTCATTAAGAAACTAAAATGGTTTAAGATCCAGCAAATAACTAGACCTTCAAACTATATGAGCAGTAATACCGACGGTGACAGCCGGAACACACTTCTCACGCTGGGAGGTCCTGATAAAAAGTTGGATTTATAGAGCTGACAAAGGAACACACATTACCTGATTCTGATTGTATTGTGTATTTCTAATTATGATTTAATCACTGATCTCTAACAATCTTATAATGCATAACAACAGTCACATACTGTTGTGTATTATTATTATATTTACATTTTATTAGTAATAATAATATAAACCTTGGCTATTCTCCAAATAACGGTCCCAAATTATTGAGCTTCCGCCGAGTTAAAGTCACTGCCGAGAGTACCTCCCGCGCAATAACGCGCTGCACGGAGCTGGGCTAAACTAGATGGCTGGGACTCACGAGCAGCAGCTACCGCATATCCTGCAGCTTCCTCTATTTTATTTGCTAGTGAGTCCCAGTCTAGTTTAGCCCCAATCCGCACCGCACATAGCAGCGCGGGGAATACTTGTGGCGGTATAGTTGCCGGAAAGAGGTCCGCCATTTACATGTGACTGAGGCCCTGTTAGGGTATATTTTCGGCCTTGATAATTTAGGATCGTTATTCAGAGGATAGCCTAAACTTTAAAAAAAGTCTTATAATATAATTAAGTCTCAGAGGTCAAAGTTGTATTTCACATTATGTATGCATATTATTTATTTATTCTTATGGAAAGGGAGCCACCGTGGTGCAGTGGCTCGATGCTTACCTGCAGATCGGAGGACCGTGAGTTCAAGTCATGACTGTACAACACTTTTTTTTTAAAAAATTAACTAGGCACCCGGGTCGACCCATCTTTGAATGGGTACAAGGTGGAACCCTGGCACAGTCACTGTTCTGAGTCGTTGCACATTTTTTGCTTCTGCCAGTGCCAGACGGCTGTTGCATTTTTGCTCTATTTGTAGACTGAAAGGATATTGTTTCGTCATCCAGATTCTGAGTTGAGTGCATGGCGTGACACTGTGAGCTGCAGATTTCAATTTGAATGTTTTTTTACTATGACCAACGTGGTGGTATGAATTGTAGATTCAGAAAATGGTGCGATGCCTGTTGTCACAATATTGGTGGTGCCATTATGGGATTAAAATTGATCGCGTGTGCAACTGATGATCTGTTGGTGACTTCTGCTACCATCGATGATGAACTGCATTTCTAAAATCGGACTATTTGTGTTAGCACTTCGAATGGCTACCGTATGTTTTTAATGCATGTGTATGCTAGTGCATATGCTGAGACAGCAGTCTTGGCAATCTTTCCACTAGGGACTGATAAATATTCTGTGTTTTTCGTTGGCACGGGAGCGGAGCAACAAACCCATTTGCTAGGAAGCTGAAACTAAGATTACCTGGGAAGTAAAGGCGGCTGACATGATGCTAACCATATCACCTATTAAGTTTTGATTGGTCTGTAAAATATAGATATAGCCCTATATGCCCACTAACCTGAAGTCTTATAGAAAATTAATTGGAAATGCAACTGACATGATAGGCTTTAAATAAGGAGACATCACCTTTGTCAGCTTCTCAGACTCACCACATCAGTAGAATCTAAATGACATTATTTATTAAGTATAATTAATTTTCTAAATAAAATTTCAAATTATTCAGTGAAAAAAAACGAATGATATAGATGAGAATAAAAGTAAATTCCAGTTTAATAATAGATAAGGACATCTGCCTCTCAGGCAGGCCACTGCATCCTGACTTCGAAGGAAATACTTTGATCAGTTAACTTTTACAAGAGGATCGTTAGGGGGACAGTAGGTCTGCCCCCCCCCCCCCAACCCCACCCCATAGGGCTCTAGAACAGACGCGAGAAGTTGGTTGATGATGCAAGCTCCAGTGGGAGATACTTATTTACTTAGTCACTTCTCTTCTACCTTGTGGTGTAGAGGTTTGCCCGAGAGATCGCCAGACTTCTTTGTCAGCAGTTTTCAATGGAAGACAATAGACATTATTTTTGATAGTTGACCCATCCACACAGTATAAGTAATGGAACACAGTGATGGCTGAATCTGCAAACAAGGACCAGACTACGAACAAGTAAAAAGGGGTGTGGCCAGACAAGAGCACTATGCAGGAAGCCAAAGAAGAATAGGAAACCAACATGGAACTGGTGTCATAAGCCGCTACACGCTGCAGGATTTACAAAGGAGGGGATCCGAGCACTCATGAGCTGAATGTTTCGATGTGCAATGAGGATAACCTGTCGAGTTACTAACTAGCTAACTAATGGACCATTTCCCGCACTTTCAGGCATATTGGGTGTATAGCACCAGACAGATTTTATGGACCGGTCAAAACTTGGTTGGTGATGTGGTCAGCATCGGCCAGCTACCTTTACTTTACCTGGTACCCATTTTAGGCTGGATTGACCTGAGAGCCATGGTCATTTAAGCAAAAATCCTTCTTGGTGCAGAATTTAACCCATGAGCTTCGGCCCGCTGATGATGGGCATCTAGCTTCTGGCCAGCAACTCACCAGCACATAATATAGTTACACACAATATAGTCTGAAAGATAGGGAAGCATACGTGATACTGACCACGACACATACTGAGTACTGTTTTGGTTTTGAAAATGTTCACATAGCTACCTCATTTTGTTATGTTTTCACAATCGACGTCACTGCACATTGGGCATTCTCATGCGTACTCAGTCCTCCGATGCAGCAGCCACTACAAAGTACTACTAATTGTTCCCATGAGAAGCTGGTTATATTGTCTCCTGTCACGGCCTCGGAGACGGCATAGACGTGCTCTACTCACATGTCACGCAATCGTGTTAGTTTCTGGGATTCCTCATTATCCACTAGCCCAGTCTGTACAGCGTTGACAATATCTGCTCTGTCCATGCTTCTTCCCACATGCCTTAGTGCAGTACTTGCCAGTTGGTCCGCTCGCTTATTTCCCTTTACGCCAGCATGACCAGGTGTGTAGATCCAGGTGAGGGAGGTTAAGCCCTTGAAGCATTGTGAGTAGCAGGCCTGCCTGCTGACCCAGCCAGGGGCTGTGGTTTCAGCGGAGGTCGATTTTAATTTCACCTTTGCGTCCACTGGGTCAGTGGGTTCCGTAAAATGCTCTGGTTATCATATGGGGTTTTTCCAGTGATGATATTTTTTTCTGACTGACTTCATTACAGGTAATTTTTATGTTCTCGTTGAATATATTTTGTTAATGGTCACGTTGCGGTTAATTGTATGTTTTATCGCTCTTGTTCCAGAAAACTGAAGAAGGTTGTGACAGTCGCTGTCTGTACTACTTATTTGCTGTATACAGATTATGCACTGAAGCTTCAACATGTGGGCAAATCCTTTTGGTGCCTCATGGTCCATGCATCAGGCAGACTACCAGAATGTTCCACATGAGCAAGGTATTTCTCAACAGTATAAAAAAAAATACTTTACACAGAATTTGAAGGAACTTCTAAAACTAAATCCAGCCTTAATAAGTTAACAAAAACACACAAAAAAAGGCACAGACAAGGTATCAGCCCTGGTTTACAAGGAGGAGGGTTAAGAGGAAGTAAAGATTATGAACACTGCATCAGGCATGTCATAACAGGCAACTTAAGGGTAAGATTAGAGTTAGTTCTGTCATGTAAAAAAAAAAGGGTACCTTCATTTTAGCTCACCTCAAACACAGGGAATCATGGAATCCCCCAGTAAGTAAATATTATAAGGGTTTTACAGTTTGAAATGAACAGGGACTAACACACTTATAATATTGGACTTGTTTGGAGTGAGCTAAAATGAAAGCATTAAAAACTTGAAAGTCTATAGGGAATAGGTGTGTGCTGGTTGAAGGTCTATGTTTCACAGGGAGTTAAAAGAAAAAAATCAGACAGTGCTCAGACAGTTGTTTATATATATGAGCCGAGAGGAGACATCTTATAATACAAATCAGTTACTATGATATTATAAATTGCTTACTGTAATATAATGCATCTGCTTGAAAGGCAAGCAACCAACAGTTTGTATACAGATAAACCAACCTATAAAACAGATGTGCATACGAAACTCAAAGAATATATTGCAGATCACTTGTCCCAATAACTCTACTGTTTTCATGTTCATTGTTTGCAGTTGACTGGGCTGCGCTGGCTAAGCAGTGGATTACTCAGAGAGAGATCATCCCACCTCCAGAGGCTGTAGCTCCTCCACCGGAGCCTGCCAGTGTTGCACCTCCACCACCTCCTCCGCCTCCACCTCCACCAGAGGAAGGGCCTGTCAGTTCACATAAGCTCGAAGATGAGACCAGCATGGACATTGCTTCTGATGATGAGAACACCGGTGCGCCAGGTATTTCATCATTCCTCATTTTTAGACTGGTCATTAGTTTGTGTAAAATGTTTTTTTCAGTTGTGGAGTAACCCTAGAGATTGGCACAAAATGTGAAGCTGAGTGAGCCTCTGATTTTTGTGAACTTTATTTCGTTGCTTCTAGTCTGATTACCTTTATATTGTTCTAATGAGAACATCAACTGTTTCTTTCATATAATTAGGGACTACAGTTTCGACAATTTGCGGTCTTTTCGGCAATTTCCGTTACCCGGAAACCGTTCAGAACTTGTTCGGGAAATCTCGGCTGGTTTCCGTATGGGTCCAAATCTCTCATGAAATTTTGCCATTGGTGGGAATTTGGACCAGCTATAAATAGCTGAAAACAGCGTGGGGGAACCCGATTAACAGCGCATGTCTACGACAGCCGGACGTTCTCTGTTTTTCTGTTAGTCATCAGTTTGATTGAAAATAGCGGTAAATTCGAGGTTGGCTTTAGGCTTTAACTGTTACTCGTCCTGGTATTGCTAGGTATATTTGAATTCTCCGTCCAATTTTACATTTGTGTATAAAAATTTCTTTCTGGACGGTGGCTAGGTAGATGTACAGTGACATTTTTCAGGCAATCGCTGGCTCAGCCAGTGGCTGTGTCTCATTGCCTGCCATCTTGTCCAATGACAGTCCAATGTAAACAAAGCCGATACAGAACTGCGCAGTAGGTTGCGCAGTAAAAAAACTTCTTGTTTCTGGGTCACAAGTTTTAGCGGCTGTTTCTCACATCTCATCTCCACAAAACCTACATATCTCAGCTCAGAAATGACATACAAGCCTAAATGAGGTACCATTGGAAAGAAATTGTTTACAGCTATCTAACTGTGCTGGTTTTATTGATGTAGAGGGCATTTTAAAATTTTTACTGAAGTAGCTACATATAATACAGTTACATTTTGTTTTCTTTTATGACATTACAGTTGAAGCCGGATGGATCAACTTTGTTGCACTGAGTGTTAACCCATACAGCTTAGAGTCTGTCTACAGAACGGTTGACCACCTGCTGAGAGTAGCTCAAAGCACTACTCTCATATAGAATATTGATCGTTTACCTCCCAGGAGATGACAATATAAGTTTGTTCTCTCGCACGGCACGGCTAAACAACATTGACTGTTTCATACGAAAATGTCAAATGTCCCCACAGCATTTTCTGGTTTTAGAGTGGGTCGACTATGAGCGCTGGTCAAGTTTTTATACGAATAAAATGTATTTATTCAGTTTTGCGCTTTTGCGCTTTCATGTTTATGTAACTCTGTAGTAATGCACCTGACAAGATACAGCAAAATTTGCCTGGTAATAAATTGTGCAATGTATTGTTTGTGCCCGCATTATTTAAATTAAATGTATGACCAGCATCATTCTCTAGCTACTGCATTACAGCACCTCCATCTAATTTGAATCGCTTGTTTTGTTGTTGTTGTTTGCCAAGACACTATTTACATTGCTGCAGTGGCAAGGGATCTTATTGTGTACAGCATTCACACAGCATTGAATTCCCCCCCCCCCCCCCCCCCCCCCCCCCCCTGTCTGAGAACTTTAATGTCCGCTATACACTTATTTTAATAAATAATATTGTTATTAAAAAAAATTCAGCAGTTGCACCAAGTATTCCTGAGCCTCAGGTTGTGGAGCAGCCGTTTCCGGGACAAGCTCCATGGATGCCACAGCAGCAACAGTGGTGGCCACCCAGGCAGGGAGGAGATATGTGGATGGGACCTCAGATGGGACCTAACAAGGTGTGTGCCCATCAAGCAGTAATGTTAGAGGGTTCGATATTTATTTTGTCTATGTGTGTGTTGTCCATCAAGATGATGATAACCACTCTTTTTCATCAAGTATGAGTACGAAGATGGCCGATGCGGGCCCAAAAAGTTCTTGGACAGTGAGGACAGGGAATGAGTTTGTGCCAGGAAGGGGATCTCCTGCAGTTACCTTTCTGTCCATCCTTATCCTAATCAGTCTTGCTGTTCTTTTGGCTTCACATGTAGCAGCCGCACCTTTGTGTTGAGAGGCAGCCTCCAAATGGTTATCATTTTGTCTTATGTATTGCCAGGTGAAAAGCTTTTTGGTGTTTTCCGTTATTTAAATGTACATGTTTTTTTTCCCATTGTATGCATGTTTTTTTTAATAACTGTATATTGTACCTCTTCCTTCCTTCAGTGGCTTAAATCTACAAATGTCCTAAAATGTATCCATTTATAAATGATACCACACACTAACCGTTGTGTTTTAGTTGCACTATTGACACTTCTTTGATCCATTAGACATACTAGAGTACTGTGATCCTATTGCTGTTTTTCTTTCTGAAACGGGTCTTCTGGTGAGCTTAAGTCAACAGGTGTCTTTTTGTTCCATCATAAAAACTCTTCTTCAGCTTTACCAACTAATCTCAGGCAGAAAGTCCTGCCAGTTTGCCCACTTTTGTTGAACTTTGGTATTGTTACAGAACTTGAATTGTGCATGTACATCCATTATAACAGATCTGGTTTGTCTGTTTATATAGTGGTTGATTCTTGCCTGCCAGCCACAAGATCTTGGGTATGAATCTGAATATATTTTTTTTCACTTTCAAAATTTACCTTGATTCCATGTCAGTCCATTCTAAAATGGGGTACCAGGTAATTTCTGGGGAAGTAAAGGTGACCAGCATGATGTTGACCACATTCATTACCTGTCGAGCTGATTGATCTGTAAAAAAAAACGTCCAGCACTATACACCAAATGTGCAGCTGGTGAGAAACTAGTCCTTTACATGTAAATTGTATACTCTGCTATGTTTAAAAGTGCATCCTGATGTTGGATATATGTGTATTGTGGTATATTTTCAGGATGGATATGTGGGCGAGATGCCGAGCTTCCAGCCAATGGCAGCTTTCCCTCCAGGGAGCGATATTTACTATGATCAGGTAATGCCAAGAGAAGGCGTTCCTCATTTTCCTCCAGGTGTTCTTATGTTGGCCCAGGTAAATACACACCTTGCTGTTCAGTGTTGTGAGAGGGGGATCTTCCCATCCTTCATTATTATTCTCCGAGATCCAAAGTAATTTTATGGGGACTCTTTTTTTTAATGTTTAGTAAGGAATCTTTACACATCTTGAAACTGTATAGGAGTCAGCCTAGCTTAATAACATTTGTTTTAGATATTTATTTATGTGATGAAGAAAAGGCGGCGAGAAATTGATTTTGACACCACATGATCTCATTTATTTTATTAGTTCGTTATATTATTATTCCTATTGTCAGCATGAGCTAGGGCAGAGGTCATAACATCTGATTCTTTGCAAGTTGATGTAGGTCTTGATTGCACCTGAGACCACATGGTGCTGAAGCTCTCCCTTAAGATGTTTCTAAAAAAGAGTTTCTTTTGGTCTTTGGGTTTTTCTTTTACCCTGTTTTGATATGAGGCTTGGAGGAATCTCTGTATGTCCATTCTGAGTACGGCCGATGTAATTCCAGCGACGCATTCTAATAAATCAGTTTTTTGTTTTGAAATTGGATATGATGTATTGGACCTAAAGTCCGGCCAGTGAACATTCAATATTTCGCAGGCATAAATGTCGAAAGAAACACAGTTTGCTGATCGATCTGATACTGATGATTTCACAACACTCACAACCATAAGTTAGCAACAACACTCCCACACAAAAAAAGACCTTAATTTCTTTGTTGCTGAGTGACTTCCAAATGTTTGACAGTTTGTTAAAGCGTTGATGCTAACGCGTTCGCTTCGTTATTTCTGATCAGTATCGCCCGTAGACAGCTTTGCCAAGTATGTGAAGCTGTGATTTTTTCAAGAACACAATAGTTATGATGTATTTCGACTCGTAAGGTAAGATCGATGATTATTTTTTGTGGCTGTCGTTGTCCTGAAGGGTATTGAGGCTTGAAAATATTCTGGAGGCGGTCCATTTTTTCCTGAGTCTTCAGATGTGTTTGTGCTCTGCACTGGGCTAGCGTCTCGGCGCAACTATCTAAATCTTCGGTATTTGAACCAAAAGGCTTCTGTAGAGTGTGTCTGTGTGCATTTGCGCATGACCCAATCGAGTGCTATTCCGAAAAGCATCGGTGACAAGACACATCTTGTTTCACGCCTGTTTCTACTGGGAACCAATCAGAGTTACAGATTCCGTGGCCAAGCCGCGGGGAATCGGTGTAGAAGGCCTTTATAAATATTGGGTATTTATCTTGGAAACCATAGATTGTGAGTAGCTTCCAGAGTGTAGGGCGGTGTATGCTGTCAAAGGCCTTCTGAAAATCAACAAAGTTGATGATGACAGAAGTCTGTTTCAGCAAGAGCTATCACATAACATTGATGAAAGTTGTTTATGTTTCACCTCAGCACCACATGGTGCTGAAGGAAGAAAATAAGATGTTGCTGAAAAAAATCCTTGTGTGTATTTTGGGGCCCTGTTTTGAGAGGGAGGAGGAATAGACGCCCACAACGGCATATCGTAAAAGAAAAAATCTTGGCAGACAAATGGAAGCGTTTGCATATGTTGCTTACGTATTCTGCATCAGTGCGCACAGCACACACCAGATGTGTCTGCTGTTCAAACAAGTTATGATTATGCAACATGTAAGGTAATTAATGCATTATTTTTAACTGTCATTGTCCATTGGTATTGAAGGCTGATGTATATGAACAGAACAGACCTAGTCACAATTGTTTGCTTCTGCACTGGGCATAGCGGACTCGGCGAACACTCTCTGAATTAGGTATGAACCAAAAGGCTTCTGTCAGTGTCTCTATGCTGAACAGATTCCAGAACATGTCTTGCAAGACTGTCCTTTCCTGGAGGAGCTGCAAAGCTACATGTGGCCACCCCTGGTCAACCTTGAGATAACATTGGGGTTTATGACCTGCAGTGGATTAAGCGCATCACCTGATGAAGGCGTTCTAGCCACAAAGTTCATTTTGTCATTCCTGAGTGTGATATTCTGAAGCTGACTAGGACTACTTCTCGTTTGCATAGATATTTTTTCACAACACTTAAAATTAAATATAACCTAATGGCTACTTGTGCTAATGTGTCACGGGGCCCTCACGGCAAGCAAAGAATAGTAATACTGCCCCCTTTCCTGCATGTTGTAAGAGACGACTAAAGGATGGGGCGCCTGAGGTTGGCTACCTCATCCTGGAAAAATAATAGCCACACATACCACCAGCCATAGAAAATTCAAAATGAAAAACAAGAAAAACCCAGCCAGCCAAGAAGAGGGGAGGCTCTGCTAGTAGAAGAAGTATGACATGGTTTAGAGAAAGCTGAAATCGTCAGTGTAAGATAAATGATGGGGAGAACTGCATGCAGTATCGAATGATAGAACACCTTGGTGAGAGTCAGTTGAGGGCCAATGCTCCACTGGTAGTTAAAAGGGCAGAAGAAGAAAACTACTTTAAGCATGTCATGTTTTGTTTATGTTTTTAATGTTCAGGGAGAGGTGATAAACCCACCTGAAGTGAGTATCTACTTTTGCCCATCCAGGACTCCAACAGTAGAGATCTTATGCCCTACTGGGACGACCATGTTGGGGGAGACAGTGATACCTCCCAGCCACCTCTGCTGGCAGATCCACCGCGAGCACATCATGGGCATCATCATCATCACTCGCAACATTCGCACCAGCGGTCAAACAGGCATAATCAGATGCGAGGCGGGGACCTCCTTGTTGACGGAGAGGAGAGCAGTCTGGGTAAATTATGTAACATTTAACTATCACTTTTACCTATGTCTCAGTACCTAGAAGTAGTGTTGATCAATCAGTTGAGCAGTTTGTCTTCTTCAAGCTGCTGCTTAAAGGTTTATCATCAGTCAGCGAGTCCTTTACAGAACATCGCTCTCTTCACAGCACGCCTGAAAGTATCCCTTACCCTAACGAGCTGTCCGGCCACATGTGCTTTCAATGTCAGAGCATCTTCAATACATCTTTACCATGAATCTTGAGATTTTAAAAATCGCAATCTTAATGGCCGACCAACAAGGCTGTTGCGAGATACTCCTTTCACACTCCAGAGAAATTATAATTCGGTTACCTGTAATAGCGACACAAACCAGGTGCAACTTGCAATTTTATGCAGATGACGAGTAGAGGTAAAGAGCAGACGTAGATTGGCTGCTGCCACTCCTCTGGGCAATGAGCTACTTTATGATAAGATGAATGTTGTGAAGGAACAGAGTATCCATGCTTTAAAAGACTGATTCAGTGGGTTGTAAGCTGGCAAAGATAGCAGTCACCAGCTGAGTCATGTTTGACAAAACTTTGGCACAACCTCGTGGGAAAATTGCTTATAGTCAGGTGGCTTTTGCCTGTTTTAACTTTATGTGAAACATTTCTGTCGTCTCTACAACGAAGGTTGACTGTAGTGTACAACTGTCGTCTTTCGGAATATCACATGGTGAATCCCCAGTCTCTCTTCCACAGTGTGACTCTCATACTGCTGTCTGAAAACTTTGAGAACCATTTAAATCAAATCGTAGTATCCCATTGTGAGGAAAATAAGAATAGACTCACTGCCTTACCAGCTAACATGACATTTTAGTCGGCTAATTGGTGACAACCTTTTAGTCAGAGTACATCTGCCTGAGGTCCAAGGAACCACGTCTGCATACAAATAAGCCAATTGTTTTCCGGAGGCGAATAAACACCCAGAACTTTCCGCTAGATTACGGCCAGTGAAGGCAAAGAAGAAGTGTCTTTCTTCATGTTTGCAGTGTCAGTCTACTCGGCTCTTTCAGTATATAGCTACATGCGTATGTCGTCTCCTGAATATTTGTCTCTGCCTCTGAGAATACTATGCATATTATGCTCATAATTAATGGCAGTGTCGACCGTTGAGTGAGACTCATTACTTATGGGCTTGTCCAGAAATTAGTGATGTTGATTCTTTATAAAACCTAAATCCATTATGTTTTTAAATTTATGTAAATATCACATGCTAAAGTGTTTGTTTTAATCCTTCTGCTTAGTTCATGTTTCACAGCTGGCCAAAAATATTTGTTATATAATGTCTGTTTTACTCGAAATTTTATTTTGTGCTTTTTTTTCTTCTTCAATTAAATGAGTTTTTAAAAAGCTGTTTTCTGTTTTGCAGATGCAGCCAAACGCCGGGCTCTGCCAGCTTGGATCAGGGATGGGTTGGAGAAGATGGAGCGTGAAAAACAGAAACTGTTGGAAAAGGAGCAGTTAAAACAGCAGAGGGAAGCCATGTTAAAACAGCAAGAAGGCGAGAAGGCCAAGCACCAGGCAGGAAATGAAAATCCCATGAAAAGCAAATTTGTGAGTGTACATTTTTTGCCCTTAGAATTATTGCTAGTGTTCAGCAGTGGTAATGATTACAACTGTAGTTACAGATTAGGTTCATGTTATGCATTTGGTATATTTGATCATTTTTATCAAAACGTTTGAAATTTCTTTTAGCTTTAAAATCTGAAATAATAATTTGTAGCACTGGAAATGGCTTGCGTCTGTCACAGTGAGGTTATTGACTCTCTTTTGGAACTTTGTAGTGAAGAACCATCTCCAGGTATTTTGTGTTGCAGAGTTCTCTTTCCCTAACCTCCAAGCTCAGGAATCCGCAGCAGTCAGAAATTACGAGATGTGTACCCTACTTTAACAGCTAATAATAAAGTTTCCATGAACCAGAGACCTCACTGGGACTAAACTTAGTGTCCTGCTTAATACTTGCCAGTTTGTTCACCAGGTATGATATGCTGATGAGAACCAGATAGTCATGTGAAACGTGGTTGTATCAATTATATGAGGTATTTCTTCATTACAAAATTGTGTATTTCCAAATAGGATTCAGACGAGGAGGACGATTCTACAGTTGATAAAGAAATTGACGAAGATGAGGTTGAGAATGAAGACCGTAAAAAGAATGAGCTACCACCAGGATCTGATGAGCCAGAAAAACCTGCAGAATCCCCAGCACCAGCCAAACGAAGTCCATCCCCGATTGCTTTCATGACAGAGGAGGAGAAGGAAATGGCATTGGTTAGTCTGGCCATCATTTTTTTTCTTTCTTTCTTTCTTTCTTTCTTTCTTTCTTTCTTTCTTTCTTTCTTTCTTTCTTTCTTTCTTTCTTTCTTTCTTTCTTTCTTTCTTTCTTTCTTTCTTTCTTTCTTTCTTTCTTTAATGTTTGCTTGTTGAAATTCTGCATGCCAATGCATCTTGTATAATTACATTTTTTTAAATACATTGAATCAGTAACACTGTGTGTGGTGTTAACTCGGTAGATGACACAGTGCCTTGGCTTGGGGAGTGGCATATGATGTCCTTAGTATATTTCGTTGCTGAGCGGGGGTGCTCACACTTAAGTGGTGTGTGTCCATGGTGTGTTTCATTGCTCTTTGCAGAGCAGATGCTCACGCTTAAGTGGGTTGTGCTCCAGTTAGTTTGATTTCTTTGTGTTCACCGGCAGTAAACTGCGGTGAAAAGTTCTGGTTGTTCATCCACCTCTGGACTTTAGTCTTGTTCCAGTACTTGAGGGCTGCACACGCTATCTTTTTTACAGGTCTGAATTATTGGTATGCAGACTGTTGGTAACTAACCCCTCAAGCAGAAGCCCACACTTAGTCGACTCCTACAACGTGCTTGTTGGGGATGCCTCCAGTTAGTCGACTCCTACAACGTGCTTGTTGGGGATGCCTCCAGTTAGTCGACTCCTACAACGTGCTTGTTGGGGATGCCTCCAGTTAGTCGACTCCTACAACATGCTTGTTGGGGATGCCTCCAGTTAGTCGACTCCTACAACGTGCTTGTTGGGGATGCCTCCACTTAGTCGACTCCTACAACATGCTTGTTGGGGATGCCTCCAGTTAGTCGACTCCTACAACATGCTTGTTGGGGGATGCCTCCAGTTTAGTTCGACTCCCTACAACATCTTGTTGGGGATGCCTCCAGTTAGTCGACTCCTACACACACTGTCTTGTTGGGGATGCCTCCAGTTAGTCGACTCCTACAACGTGCTTGTTGGGGATGCCTCCAGTTAGTCGACTCCTACAACGTGCTTGTTGGGGATGCCTCCAGTTAGTCGACTCCTACAACATGCTTGTTGGGGATGCCTCCACTTAGTCGACTCCTACAACATGCTTTTTGGGGATGCCTCCAGTTAGTCGACTCCTACAAACGGCTTGTTGGGGATGCCTCCAGTTTAGTCGACTCCTACAACATGCTTGTTGGGGATGCCTCCAGTTAGTCGACTCCTACAACATGCTTGTTGGGGATGCCTCCAGTTAGTCGACTCCTACAACGTGCTTGTTGGGGATGCCTCCAGTTAGTCGACTCCTACAACATGCTTGTTGGGGATGCCTCCACTTAGTCGACTCCTACAACATGCTTGTTGGGGATGCCTCCAGTTAGTCGACTCCTACAACGTGCTTGTTGGGGATGCCTCCACTTAGTCGACTCCTACAAATCATGCTTGTTGGGGATGCCTCCAGTTTAGTCGACTCCTACAAGTGCTTGTTGGGGATGCCTCCACTTAGTCGACTCCTACAACATGCTTGTTGGGGATGCCCTCCAGTTAGTCGACCTCCTACAACGTGCTTGTTGGGGATGCCCTCCAGTTAGTCGACTCTCCTAACATGCTTGTTGGGGATGCCTCCAGTTAGTCGACTCCTACAACATGCTTGTTGGGGATGGCCTCCACTTAGTCGACTCTACAACATGCTTGTTGGGGATGGGACGTTAGTCGACTCCTACAACGTGCTTTGTTGGGGATGCCTCCAGTTAGTCGACTCCTACAACGTGCTTTGTTGGGGATGACTCCAGTTAGTCGACTCCTACAACATGCTTGTTTGGGGATGCCTCCAGTTAGTCGACTCCTACAAACGTGCTTGTTGGGGATGCCTCCACTTAGTCGACTCCCTACAACAATGCTTGTTGGGGATGCCTCCAGTTAGTCGACTCCTACAACGTGCTTGTTGGGGGATGCCTCCAGTTAGTCGACTCCTACAACATGCTTGTTGGGGATGCCTCCAGTTAGTCGACTCCCTACAACATGCTTGTTGAGGGATGCCTCCAGTTAGTCGACTCTACAACATGCTTGTTGGGGGATGCCTTCCAGTTAGTCGACTCCTACAACACTGCTTGTTGGGGATGCCTTCCACTTAGTCGACTCCTACAACAATGCTGGTTGTTGGGGAATGCCTCCACTTAGTTAGTCGACTCCTACAACATGCTTGTTGGGGGATGCCTCCAGTTAGTCGACTCCTACAACATGCTGTTGGGGATGCCTCCAGTTAGTCGACTCCTACAACATGCTTGTTGGGGATGCCTCCACTTAGTCGACTCCTACACATGCTTGTTGGGGATGCCTCCATTAGTCGACTCCTACACGTGCTTGTTGGGGATGCCTCCAGTTAGTCGACTCCTACAACATGCTTGTTGGGATGCCTCCACTTAGTCGACTCCTACAACATGCTTGTTGGGGATGCCTCCACTTAGTCGACTCCTCCTACAGTTAGTCGACTGCTGCTTGTTGGGGATGCCTCCAGTTAGTCGACTCCTACAACGTGCTTGTTGGGGATGCCTCCAGTTGTTCCCGACTCCTACACATGTTGTTGGGGTGCCTCGACCATCTCCTACAACGTGCTTGTGGGGATGCGACTCCAACGCTTGTTTGGGGTATGCCTCTTCCAGTAGTCGACTCCTACAACATGCTTGTTGGGGAGATGCCTCCAGTTAGTCGACTCCTACCAACGTGCTTGTTGGGGGATGCCTCCAGTTAGTCGACTCCTACAACGTGCTTGTTGGGGATGCCTCCAGTTGCTTGTTGGGATGCCTCCAGTTAATCGACTCCTACAACGTGCTTGTTGGGGATGCCTCCAGTTAGTCGACTCCTACAACATGCTTGTTGGGGATGCCTCCACTTAGTCGACTCCTACAACATGCTTGTTGGGGATGCCTCCACTTAGTCGACTCCTACAACATGCTTGTTGGGGATGCCTCCAGTTAGTCGACTCCTACAACGTGCTTGTTGGGGATGCCTCCACTTAGTCGACTCCTACAACATGCTTGTTGGGGATGCCTCCACTTAGTCGACTCCTACAACATGCTTGTTGGGGATGCCTCCAGTTAGTCGACTCCTACAACATGCTTGTTGGGGAGGCTGTGGGTCTGTTCTTGTTTTCCCCCACAAAAGGGCCCTGGATACCCACTGAATAATGGTAAATAACATCTGTGATGGATTAGACAGCAAAGCATCACACTTTATCTGACTCTGTCAGTCTCCTCTCTCTCACTCTCTCTCTCATCCTCTTTATCTCACTGTCTGTCTTCATCTGTTTAGTAGTTAGTCAGCAGATCATCCTCATTGCACATCAGATCTTTCAGTCCATAAATGCTTTGATCCCCTCTTCAGTAAATCCACTAAGGCTACTTCATCCGTCCTAGGTAGCCTGCTCAAACACACAATCACCATAAACTCTCTGTGTATTTTCAAAACATTTAGATTGCTAGTTCTGGCTGTTCAAGGCATTTTCAACAGTCTTTTGATGTTCAGTGTGCTTGTAGCCCAAAGGCACTGTTTTGTTCGTTTGCTGATAGTTCAGAATTCACATCCATGTATTAAATGTTTCTGTGTAAAGTTCAAGAATTGTTATAATTTTTTTTCTTTTACAGATGATAAAAGTGAAGCGCCTGCTGACGGAGACGTTGCTGGAGGTCACCAATGATGAAATCCGTGCTGTTGCCACAGAAGTGTACCAGAGAGCTCGTAAAAAAGTGCTCCAAGGTAGATTCCCCTGCAGCAGTGTTACCAGATACTTGGGGGTTAGGCAGCTCAAACAGAATATTATTGGAGTTCTCGGTTTACCACCATATTTATGGATCTGCAGTCATGGCAGTTAGCCAGCCATTGTTCATGTTGAGTTAAACAGGCAGTTCTTCTCAGATGGAATAAAGCTAATGAGGATTCTTTGACTAGCTCTTTCTTTATGATGATTAAAGAGCTGACCATCAGTGCAGACGAGAAGTATGGACAGAGCTGATATCAAGGCTGGATAGACTAGTTGGGGGATAATGTTGAAACTCCTAAGCTAACATGATTGTGTGACCTGGGATTTGAGCTTGGTAAAGCACATCTCTGAGGTCAAGACAGGAGACACTATAACCAGCTGCTCATAGGAATAATCAGTAGAGATACCTTGGAGTGGCTGCTGCATCAGAGGACTGAGCATGCATAGGAATGCCCAAAGTGCAAATCATCTGTTGTGATAACAAAGCAACTCTCCCATCTTGAGGGTTGGAAAATGACAATGGAAGGAAATGGATATGTAGGCTTGATGACACCCAGTGAGAGGAACGTAAAGATGTTGACCGCAGTAGGGATTAGTAAATAAAAAATGGTGCGCCTCATAAGGTAGGTGTGCCTAAGAGCAGGTAAGGCATGCTTTGCACACCAGCCTAACCTTTTACACTGATTTCACCTCTGTTGGTTTCTGTGAGATGCTTTTCTAGAAGTATCACCAACAGTTTGGCTGGGGAACCATTGTGGCATGCTGCTTAGTGCTTTACCTTCCAAGTTAGTGGTCTAGGTTGAATCCTCAGCAGAGGCAGAGTGATTTGTTCTAATAACTACACTTGTAGTCTTCGCTTCAAGGAGGATGAGGGCCATGAGAGGACATTCAGTTGTGGGGCTGACCCAGTCTTATAAAAATGAATACCAAGCAATTTTTTAAAATTATCTTTGGGCTGGCTGCGAGGTTAGAGTGCTGGCTCTTATCCAGGAGATCCAGGTTCAATCCTCGGAAAGGGTTGAAGATTTGTTCTGTCAGGGGAACAGATAAAAGGATTGTAAACCTGGACAGTTTATCGTGACTTCACTGGCCTTGTAGTGTTAAATGCCAAGGCTAACGCTATCCTACAGCGCTCTAAAGGTGGTACATACACACAGCAAAGGCAGTCGAGGAATGGAACTGGTCACCTCAACTTTCACACAGTGCAGGACCTACTGTATACACTCACGTTATGTCCCAGCTACTGTTGGAATTTTTTTACCTTAAAGATGTGTTTTCAGGATGTGCGGCACTGATGTCACTGTACTGTAATGTAAACATCAGTTTAACGTTGTTAACAAGGAGTTGAGGTGGTGTAGTAGTTTGTTCACTCACCCACTGACGGTGGTACTGGGTCAGGTTTACAGAGTTTACACCAGGTGAGCGCAAAGAAGAAGAACCGCCCATGATTCCATGGGGGGGGGGGGGGGGGGGGGGGGGTTCCGACTATCTTCCTAAAAAGCATTGTCATAAAAGTGACTATTTGGGGATTTTTCCTCTGAAGTTGGAGTGCATCTGTCTGAGAGGTGAGGAACCATCAGTCTGCATACAGAATCTGTAAAATGGATGTGCATGCAGAATTCATCTTCTGGAACAAGATCAAAGTCCAGAAGTATACAAACAACCAGAACTATCAGCCATTGAAAGTTAAGAAGACGACGACGACTGCTGTTGATGATGACGATAAGAATAATCGTCTGCAATAAGAGCCCGAGATTTGATAACCATTGTTGCCGTTTAATGTGTTTGACCTATTTATTTCTAGATACTCAGCTGCTAACCTGTTAATCAGTTATTTTCTTGTTTTGTTCCTTTTCCCCTTTCAAATTTTCAGCCTCCGTGCAGTATGATTCTTAGCATTCTGTTCGCACAAATTCATCTCAGTACTTGTATCATTTGTGTTCCCGCTTGCACACATGTTTAAATCATAGAGGCCCACCCCCAATCTCCATCCTTGGGTTGGGTCTACATTGGTGGTAAAAGGTATTGATAGTGCCATATCAGAATCTATAATTGGGGTATGATTCAGTTCTAGTATAGGTTTGGTGTTTTTTTTTTCTCTGCTCGTGAATGATTGAATTTCTTTTCATCCACAGGACATAAATACGTTCTTAAGATTTCTTTCAGGTTGTCGGCAGAGCAGGTACAGTGTGGTGTGGGATGTTGTTTGCCTCCCTGCCATGCTGCTGTCTCAGCCGTTACTTTTTGTGTAGTGTCCATTGTGTGTCTTCACTAATGTCTGTGTAATTGTATCAAAGCTCCTGCAAAGCAACTTGCCAAGTCCTCCGCTTTGGCTTCTTTGACTTCACTGGGTAAGTGGGATTTGTATGTCTCCTTTTTATTCTGATGCCCATGTTTCTTTTTTTTTTTTAAATGATTGATTGGACTGATTATAGTTCTCTGTGTTTATTTAACCCAGTACTGGTATGGTGGTTGAGTGGTTAGATGCTGGGCTGTCACGTGGGTTGACCTGGGTTAAATCCCAGTCAGCAGATTTTTTTCTGCCAGGAGTGTAAAATAAAAATGCTTACCTTCGCAGTTCGTGGCGACTGCACTAACCATCCGGTCCTAAACACTCAGCCTGACAACCTCCTCCTCCTGTCCACCATACCCTCAGACTGGCAACCTCCTCCTCCTGTCCACCATACCCTCAGGCTGACAACCTCCTCTCCTGTCCACCATACCCTCAGGCTGGCAACCTCCTCCTCTGTCCACCATACCCTCAGGCTGGCAACCTCCTCTTCTGTCCACCATACCCTCAGGCTGGCAACCTCCTCTTCTGTCCACCATACCCTCAGGCTGGCAACCTCCTCCTCCTCCTGTCCACCATACCCTCAGGCTGGCAACCTCCTCCTTCTGTCCACCCTACACTGTGCATTTTCTCCTCTTAGCATTCACCACTTGTTGAACTCCAGCTGAACGTAATTGTTGTTCTGTCCGCTTCTGGACTGTGGTCTTGATCCAGAACTTGAGTTTTGTGTGCACATCCATTTTACAGATCTATCTTATTTGCATGCAGACTTTGGTTCCTTGCGTCTCAGGCAGATGCACTGACTTTGAAGGGCACATTCCTTTAGTAACCTGCTTGTTAGGCATTTGTCCTCCAAAACGGTGCCATGGAACCCACACCAGGGCCTTAAGTAGTCAGTCAATACAGGCAGCAGAGAATAGTTTGTGACACATTTCTGTCACGGTAACAAGGATTTTGATTTAGTCTGTGCTGCGTTTAGACATTAAGCTAAGATTTAGGACCTTACAATTTGAAGGAACCACAACAAATTTCTTTGTCTTCACAAATGCACATTTCTTTTAATAGAATGAAGCCTCTAAGATGATTGTATATATAATATATATGATTCTGTAGGACACATTCTTTATTTCTTTAAAAAAAAATTAAACAATATGTATCCATGATCCACATTAAAAAAGTGTATTTGAATGTGAATAAATATGTTTTAAGTTTTCTAAGATTAGCTGGTTTTATTTAAAAAATAGAGGCCTTGAGGCTTTATAGAGCTTAGGGCCTCACAAGTCTAAATCCAGCCCTGAACCTAGGTCTTTGGAATAAGAGTTCAGATGCTTAGTAAAGTGAGGGACATTCTTCTGTTAGGGGCAAACATAAATTCCTAAACTGCACAGTGTGGAGTCACTAAAGCAGTCCTAGAACACCATGTTCAACAATAGTCCTGCATGGCCTAATAGAAAAATAGTAGCAGTGCGGGACATTTGCTGATGGTGTACAGGAAATACCTAAGTGTTTCCTCACGTTTTGAAGGCCATGGGCTCATTTCAGGAATGTGGAATCAAGAATCAACTTCACAGCACTCGGAACATTTCCATAAGAGCTCTGGCCCCATCTTTAGCAGCAAACGCTGAATTCCAATTACATTGGTACCAGTAACAGTTTGATTTTATATCCGTTTTGCTCTTCCCTTAAGTGTTGAGCATTGACCAGATCCCCTGCTAACTCCTAGCAGCGACATTCTCCTCAGCCTGTAATCATCTATTTGTGCCTCCACACTGTTCACTCAAAGAGCGCTAACTACCCATTTTGGGGATGTCAGGAAATATAAGTAAAGGGGGTCTGTGATTCTTCTACTTGTACATAATCTGTCATGCTATGTTATTCAAACAAAAGGCTAGAGAATATTACCTTCAACCATAAAACTAGCTTTGTGGCTGCTCATGAATTCTAACAAATGATGGTGGCTTTCTCTTGTCTTAAAAGTATGTCTAATTATTGCAAGAAGTGCCAGCAGATTGATCTGGTTGTATTACAAGTGTAAAGTGTTGGTGCTGATTTGTGTGGCCTTGTGCTTGAAAGATGATGATGTGAAATCAATGACAGGGCTTGGCTACGGGTCTGACAGTGATGGGAGCAGCAGTGAGAGCTCAGAGTCTGACTCGGAACTTAAAGAGAAGATTCGCCGCAAGAAGGAAGCTTTCGCCAGACGTCACCGCCACAAAGCTGATGAGCAGGAGGAGGATAAAGGTCAGGAAAAAGGCTTTCTTGTTTTGAATTATAAAATTAAAATTCTGACCCTAAATCTTAACTCTTCTCGCCCTGCTAATGCTAACAAAATTGGTCATGAACCAGTAAGGCTTTCCTAATAAAATTTCTGTAAAATAACAAAAATAAATTTATACAGGTGATTGAGTTTCTGAAAATTTTTTCTACATAAACAATTTTTTTTTATTTTTTAAAATTTTGAAATGTAAAAAAAAAACAAATATAAAGAGAGTAAATAGTGACCAATAACAGCAAAGCGTTGGATTGAATGCATTTCCTGGGCCTAAAAGAAATATGTATCAGGTAACTCATGCCTGACCTCTGTTACTGATGCTTATGGGAAAATCCAAAGTCAGCCTGGCTTTTAAAAGGCTTTTGAATTTACAAAGAAGCTTAACAGTACACAGTTGCGTATAGAACTCTTTTAAAAAACAAGTCACTTTAGAGACGCGGATATATCAACATTTACGGGGCTGTGCAACAAACAGGATGTTACTACATTTAACTGTCTCCAGGCAATAAGATTAAGTACAGTATGTGAATCCCTTTTATGTCTCCATCATGGTGCAGCAGATGGCTTGCGAGTTCCACAGACATTCAGTTTGTTGTTGGTCCATCCCAAGTGAAGACCACTCTTTCTTTTATTCATCATGAAATTTAGTTTTATTAGTCCTGAGGTCACTTATAAGTCCAATACAGCCCAGAAGGGTCTAGGTCAATGAGGGTGGGAACAAAGTCTAGGTAAGGGTCATTCTAGCCTGCATGCGCTGCTTAGCTGCCCTTTTTCTTGAAGCCTCGCAGGCCGCTGCCTCTCTTCAAATAGACGTTTGTCATGAGTTCACCAGCGACCATCAACAGTTATGCTGGAAGTAGCAACAAAAAGAGTTGGAGTCTTCTCCTTTTTGTGATTTTTGTCAGAAGTTTTCAGATGATAAAAGTCTGTGGTGCCAGGCATGTTCTCCATACAGCTTGGTGTCAACCAAAATGTCGTCGCCTATTGGCTGGCCTGTAGACGACTTCATTGCCGGTCAGGACAGCATTTGGGTCTGTCTCCTTTGATCTCATCAACACTGCAAGTCTTTTTTTCAGGGCCACGTGTTGGCGAGCATTGCTAAGCCATTTTATATGGTGCACCACATAACTTAGTCAAAGTTATAACTTTAAGCTCTCCCTTCAGAGATACTGCTTGGGAGTGACCCCCCCCCCCCCCCCCCCCAATCCTCTAGCAAACACCTGCCTACAAGCAGAAAGCAACTGGACATACCTAGGATCTTTCTGCTGCATGTTGAGAGCATCTTTCAGCACATATTCAGTATTCTCTGGTGCCTTTCCATGTGGGCACAATTCTGTAAAACATTGAAACATGTAAAGTGTGATCAATATACTCATCATGTGTTAGGGACAAGACAGGTCAAATTTGATTAGGGCAACATTTGAATAAGACCGAGCTAAAACATTAAAATGGGACAGAACTAAATCAACATTTGAATGAGACAGAACTAAATCAACTTTTGAATGGGACAGAACTAAATCAACATTTGAATGGGACAGAACTAAATCAGCATTTGAATGGGACAGAACTTAATACATTTCAATGAGACAGAGCTAAAGTAACATTAGAATGGAACAGAACTATATCATAATTTGAATGGGACAGAACTAAAGTAACATTAGAATGGAACAGAACTATATCATAATTTGAATGGGACAGAACTAAAGTAACATTAGAATAGAACAAAACTAAAGTAACACTGGAATGGGATAGAACTAAAGTAATGTTGGAGTGACATTACTTGATAATGCAACAATCACTGAGATCAAAAGTTATAAAGTTTAAAAAAAAATTGCTTTAGTTGTGTTTATCCTTCATTATTTATTCTTTGTTATTTTCAGGAGACTCTAGTCCACCAACTTCAAAACATAAATCCAGTCAAGATGATGTCAGGAAAAGTTCCAGACTGGCACACGAGGATCACGGCCGACATTCTAGCAATAAAGTTGATATGAAAAGAACAGACAGACAGGGCGATAAAGAATCAAAGTCGGACAAAGATAGGAATAATGAAGTAGAGGACAAAAAAAAAATCAGTGAAACAAAATCTAGGAAATCTTTGAGTGAGAATCGGCAAAACAGTGAGGGAAAAGATGACAAGGAAGCTATGCAAAAGTCTGGGGAGGATAAAGAAGACAAGGATAAAGTAAGACAAAAGGTGAATGTAATTGACGATGAGGTGGAGAAGAATAAAAACACTCTTGATAAAAAGGAGGAGAGGAGAAAAAGTAGTGAAGTTAAAGAGGAGAAAAATGGTGCCAAGTCTCGTAAAGAAGAGGAGGTTGTGAATTCAAAAGAAAGTGTTGAGAAAAAGAGTGGCAGTAACAAAAAAATTCAGGAGAAAGTGAAGAAAGATACCTCATCTGACTCCAGCGATGAAGATTCTTCTTCTTCGTCTGGGTCAGAGTCGGAGAGTGGAAGTGGTAGTAGCAGTAGTGGTAGTGCTAGTGATGATGAGGGTGGTGGCAGCTCTAGTTCTTCCTCTTCATCGTCAGGTTCTTCTTCATCGTCTTCATCCTCCTCCTCATCGTCAGATTCTCAAGCAAAAGTAGCAAAGCAAAGGATGTCTTCCAAAGAAAATAATAAAAAAGATGCAAGGAAGAAATTAAAGTCAGTAAAAGCAAATGTTGTGAAAGAAGAAAAAGTGCCGAAAATGATCACACGTGATATAAAAAAGGAACATAATAGTAGAGAAAAGAAGAGTAAGAGAGAGGATGAAATGTATGACAGAGATGGGAAAAATACACAAGAAGTTCTTAAGAAAATAAAAAAGGAAAAAGATGAAGATTCAGACAACTCGTGGAACGAAAGAAAGAGAGAAAAAAGGAAGAAGAGAAAGCATAGCACTAGTAATAATGATAGATATCAAGATGAAAGGAAATTTAGTCGGAACAGTGATGACAAACGGCGCTGGAGTACTGATAAACGTTCAAGTCCTGGTAGAGCTAGTGTTTCTCGAGGCAGTGGTGAGCGTGATAGGGTTTTCAGTAGTCATAGGGACTTGTCAGACGATGACCGTGACAGAGACTACCTCCGTAATGATTCTGACAGACGCAAGACCAAAGATAAATCTAAGAGCAGAAGAAGTTCCAGTAGGGAAGACAGAACACATCGTAGTAAACATGACCGAAGTAAGGACAGAGACAGATTCTCAAGACAGAGTTCGCTGGATGAGTCCACCCACAAAAGGCTCTCTTCTAAATCCGGTAAGAAACGACGCCGATCCAGATCCTCATCAGAAAGCAGCCGAGACTCTCGGCCCAAGAAGAAAGAGTTACCGTCCAAAGAAAGCCACCAGTCCAGACACCGCAGGAGCAGAGATGGGTATGAGGGGGGAGTGGAAGAGTATGATGGGGACAGGAAAGAGCGTGGTAAGACAGCCAAGAGCAAACGTGACGGTAGATCTCGATCAAGGTATGGTATACCATATTTGTTTGCACAATCTAACACCTTTGATAAACTCATGGATTTGACTCTTCCTAACCTCTGTTTTCCTGTTTGTACCAAATGTTATTTGTGCGTTTGAGGAAGTTATTTCCAGTTCGGTTCATACTAATTTTTTTTTGACATTTGTATGTCTTCACTTGGATGTCTGCCCATTTTGTTTTCTGAGGTGGGGGGGGGGGGGGGGGTGGAGGAGAGGAGAAACCACAAAACACCCTGCCTCCTCAAAGAAACAACCAACAGGGGCTTTCTTTGATGTTGGAGTCTTAATGGAGGTTTCAACTTTATTGCAAACTGGGTCACAGCATACTTGCTCCGTTCCTGTGCTAATGAAAAGTCCCTCACTGTCCCATTTGAAAAACTGGTGAACAAACAATTAGTCTTAGCACAATCCAGAAATATGCGCATGTAGTAAATGCATATAGCAGTTGCTGGAGGTGCCACAGCCAAGTTACCACCAGAAATGCAGTTTGTCTTGATGGAAGTAGTCGTGCATTATAAGTTGGCTATACACACATAGAATTATTGCATATGGTATTTCACCAGCCAACATGTAAACCGGCTACCGGTAGTATTGAATACGACTCAACTGCTGCACAATTGTAAGGCATTCCACATGATAAACACAGCTCACAGGGCTGCACCAAGCACTAAACTCAGGCAGCGAAACCATAGCCTACTGTCCATATGTGGAGACTGCATTAGCAAAGTGCTGTCAGAAGCAAAAATAAATTCAGAGCTTAACATTCTGCCAAGACTAGTCCTCCATTTTAGACGGGATACATCTGCCAAGCCCACTCTGCAGATCCTCACATTTTTGTTTAGACGGGAACCGTGGAAGAAGAATGAGAGATACATCTGCCTAGGCTGATAATGCATCTGTAGAATTACAGCACAAAAATGTCTTGTTTCACACAGATAAGCCAGATGTTGTAAAATGGACTAGTGCACACACCCCTGGTGGTACATAGAACAGTCCTTTCAATTTTTGTGTGAGCGCCTGTGGAAGAAGAATGAAGAGATCAGCAGGCTGGTACATTTTGGGTCTTTTTTTCTGCGGAAATGGCCATATGTAAAAGTTGTCCCAATATCCAATGGATGGCACTGTTGCTTTGACACTGGTACTGTCGCTGTGACACTGGCACTGTCACTGTGATACTGGTAGTTACTTCGTCCAAGAACTTTTGATTATGCAGGTCCTAGGCCTAGCCCCAAAGAGATTTAAACCTAAGACAGATGGGTTGGCAACCAAGTGTGCTATCTGTTTAACTACCACAGCGCCCTGGTCTACCTTTGACACGTATGGACATATCATCAGATATTTTGTCTTTGTTTAGTCCTGTCCCATTTTACTTGAATCTAACACTGGAGTATTTTTAGAAAACATATTTTCTGTAATTTATTGAATTTAGTTTACATTATGAAGAAAAGCAGTGAAAATATAATGTTGTGTAACGGAGATAGAACACTGAGGCACACATTCTTCTGAAAAGCTGGCCCTGAGGTTTTGTGCAAAGAAAACATTATTTTAAAGACTGTTTCTCAGATAACAAAGACGCACACTGGAATTAGCGCACTGACCCAATAAGTGATGCGGTCAATATTCAGCTGCCTTTTTCTGACCCAAACATTTTCAGGAAATCTCGGTCCCAATGAAATCACTTTTAGGCTACATCAACTGCAGATTCTAGCCCAGTAAACAAAGAATATTTCTGCTTCACTGGGGATGAGATAACCATAGGTGCTGGGCAAGCTTCAAGGCATGCCTAAGTGTACCTTAATAATTTTGTCAGAGCAGTAGGTAGTTGCAGTTTTTGTTTTAGAAAGTCTTAGCTAGGAAACTTACATGTGCAATCTGTTAGTTAGGAAGGGTGTAAACCATCTTCAGACTGCCTTGATTGAAATAAGGAAGAGCTGTGGGCTGGTCTGATATGTTTTGGGGTACAGTTGCACAATCAGAATGTTGGCGGTCATAGCTAGCTGGTTTGGCACCACTTGAGAGAGAACTGAACCCTGTAAATTTTGACGATAATATTGACAGTGTAGCAAAGATGGAAGTGACTGCATCCGGCTGTCAGAAGTTAGTGAATGTAAAAATATGACTGTGAGGCATTACAAATAAAAGACAGGGATATGAAACAAAGATTTGGACTGATGATTTTGTCACAAAACTTTTTAAAAAGAGGGGGGGGGGGGGTTTTTGTTCTTTGACAAAGACCTTTGTTTAAGTATAAATATTGTAGTATCTACAAATACACATCCATTTGATACTGATATAACATAGACATTTGTTAGAATTTCACAAAATCGGGGGAGGGGGTATGATTAATATCGTTCCATGTGTGGAGAGAGAAAAAAAATTGTGTGATAATTTTAACAGATAGGGAGTTTGGTAGTAGTTTCCTTTTCGGTGGCTAAATTAACAGAAAAGAAGAGAGTTGGCTAATAAAACAGACCCATGACAAGCGTTAAGGAGAAGAGCAGAGGTTAGTGATCTTGGATGACAAGAGTTAAGGAGAAGAATAGTGATCTCAGATAAGAGTTAAGGAGAAGAATAGTGATCTCAGTTGCGAGTTGAGAAGAGTAGATATTAATGATTTGGTTTATGAATGTAGTTTGCAGGCATATATATCTCTCTGATGGTGCAAGGATTTATATTATGCAGCTATTGAAATTACTAGAGTATCCTTCCGCTTGCACCCAATAGGCAAAAGACAGAGACTTTGAAACACAGAATAGAATTAGAAGCAGATTAATAATATAGTGACATTGATGGAACTGCGAGAGATAGTTTTAAAAAAAAAAGGTATTTTTTTAACGGTCTGCAAAAGAAGACAAAAATTGAATTTAATAATTGTACTAGACAGACAGACAATACCAAACTTCATAAAAGCCTATAAAATGAAACGACACATTAGACACCTGATGATTTTTGTAGTAAAAAAAAACTGCAATACTGATCATATTAAGTATAGAATACCACCAGGAAATAACTCAGAAAAGTAGTGATATCATGGGCCAAGTTTGAGAAGCAGTGACCACACACATAGAAAAAAAAAGACAGGTGAAATGTTAAATATAATCCTGTTACCAAAGCGTAACAAACTTTTCTCTCTTCCTTGTTCACAGATCCAGATCTCGGAGACGGTAGAAGGCAGCCCTGGGTAGTTATATCAGTGTGTAGAGTCTTTCTTGATTCTCATCCTGTGTTAGATTGTACAACTTTTCATAGTTATACATATTCATGTACATAATTTGTCGATTTGTTGATTAAATTTTTAAAAACGTTTGTTAAGGCTTCCTGTTTTTTTTAAAGTGAGGTTAGATGCTTCTTTCTTGTGTTCTATTGACCAGACTTACATGCCATCAGTGTATAATTGGTGGTTCCAGTTTCACTACAGCAGATGGGTCATGCCATCATTTCTCTGTTCCCTTGTCAGTGGAAACCATAGAAGATGTCACATGTGAAAAGCCCCAGCAAAATCCACGCGTCACTCACACATTGAAAAATGCAGAATCAGATTTTACCTTCACAGTCCCACCTCCCCATTATTTGCTTGGGGGAAGGGGTTTGAATCTGAAAACTTCCACTGGATTACAGGGAATTAGTTGAGTCAAGAATTGACATCACAGCACTTGGGGCATTCCCATGCGTGCTCCGTCCTGATCGTCAGCAGCCAGCGCAGAGTTCCAGTACTAATGGATTACTGGGAAAACAGGACATACCACATTATAATCAGGTAAGCTTGCTACAGTGAGAATTCTTTCTCAGTTGGAGTACATCTGCCTGAGGTGAGAAACCAGCAGTCTGCATAAATATAAACCAAATCTTTAAAATTGATTTGCACACAAGGCTCAAGTGCTGGAACAAAACCAAAGTCCACAAGTTGATGAACAACCAGAACTTTCTGCAATGAAAAAGAAGCAGCTAAAATTCTTCAGACAGGTGTTATATTAACCCTTTGTATCTTTAGCTGTACTACTACTCTTTGCCTCTGTTTAACTTCTTTAGACCTAATTCTGTATTTTTAACTCAGCTTCCGTGGTTAAAAAAAATTCAAATAATAACTGCTTGGCTACCAAAATGTTAATGTTCTTGGTCCACAGGCATTCATAAAAATAAAATTAAAAAGTAAATATATCAGCTTTATTGACAGCAATAAAATAAAGAGTGCTGTAGTGACAACCTTTCATCAGCAACCAATGAGAAGCTCTACACCAGGCATCCTAAATAAAATGTTCTTCACAAGTCAGAATTCTGCTGCATCAAATGTTCTAAATGCTATCTCATTATTCTCATCTGTTGCTAATCTTTGTTAATATTCTTAAAGAAAGAACACAATCAGAGGCTAAGAACTTGGTAAAGATCAGCCTGCCTGGCATTAGAGGCACACCAGTTGTACGAGAAGTCTTGACAGGTAGCAGTGGACGCAATATTAACCGTGGGGCGCTAATTTATATGTTGTGGGGGGTGTCTGAGCACCTGCAGATGTGCCTGGAGTGCCGTGAAGAGAACCCAGCTCACAACTCATTGTGTTCGTGTGGGTTCCGGGACCCCATTGTGGGAAAAACAAGATTAGACCCACTGCCTCCCCAGCCATTTTGTCATAGAGGGACTTCCGTCAGAGTCAGCATCTGCCTGAGCGGCAAGGAACAACCAGCTGCACACGAATAAGCCAGCAAAGTGGAAGTACACACAAAACTCAGGCCAGGGCACAAAGCCAAAGTCCAAATGGACGAACAGCCTGGACTTTCGGCTGGTGAAAAAAGAAGCAGATAACTCATCTGTTTTCATTAATTAACTGTAGTCTAACAGTTTTATATATATATTAAGTACATAAATATACAAAACAAACACATGCTTCTTACTAATATTTCATTTATTTTTATAACTGTACATGTTCAGTGATCAATGAACCAAACTTTCAAATGTTATGTAAGTGCTGTATTAACATCAACTGTCACAGAACCATGTTGGTTCCATTAGTTTATTTAAGGCAAAAATCGTCACCAAAATAAAAACCCGATGCCATTATATTTAAATAGGTTAGTCTACTAAAAAATGAGAGGTTCTGGGGAAAATTGTGACAACCAGGTATACCAAGGGTTTTATAATAAAAGGTTTACAGATATAACAAATGTTAAATGAGTTGGCAGTGTGGAATAAACGATCAGAAGGATGTTTGTGGAGATGCGTGATCAAATGATATATGTATTATTCTATAATTTATATGTTTAAAAAAAATATATGGTTTCTGGAGCACACACAAAAAAAAAGATTCACTGCCCTTCTAACGAGCAAGTTGTAGGAAATTACTAATCAGGGGTGTTTCCTTCAAAACAAGAGACCTGAGAGGCAAGGAACCAGCAGTCTGCATACAAATAAGCCAGATCTATCAAACAGATGGGCAAGCAAAACTTCAAGTTCTGCAACAAGGTCAAAGTCTAGAAGAGAACAAACAAACAGAGCTTACAGTCAATTAACACTACCAAGAAGACATAAAAACTATAAGGAATGCTGAGTCTCTTGAAGTGAATTAAGCAGTCTGACTGCAATGTGTAAGCTAAACAACTAAATTGTTGTTGATTCCAAAAACTACCGAGTCATCTACTCTTCTTATCCCTCCTGCCTCCCTTCTGGGCTGCTTACTTACTTACTTAGTCGCTCCTCTTCTACCTTGGGGTGTAGAGGTTTGCCAGATAGATCGCCAGATGTCTCTATCAGCAGTTTTCTTTCTGGCTTTGTTCCATTCTAGTCCTCTGTCAGTTAGGGACTGTCGGATGTTGTCTTCCCAGCGCACCCTGGGTCGCCCCGGAGGTCTGGTTCCCTGGTTCTTAGCCTCCCATGCTTGCCGATTTTCTCCCATTCTGCAAACATGTCCAAACCATCGTAACTGTGACTGATCTACTCGGGTTACTAAGGGCTGGGTATCAAGATCTTGACGTATTGTCTGATTGCGGACTTTGTCCCTTCTTGTCACTTGGACCACCTTTCTCAGGTATCTCATTTCCGAGGCTTCTGGGCTGCTGCTACCTAAAATTCTAACAAGCCTGAGATTGAAAAATCTCCGGATGGTAAGAAAGAAAATCCCAAATACCTAATCCAGTTCAGCCTCTGAAGCATCTATAGCTAAGGATTACACCAGGATGGTCTAACCAGAAGTCTTAGGTGGGCAAGGATGCTCTTTATATCTGCTCTTGGCAAACTAGTACTATTTGTAATAGTTTTTTGGTAGCTGCTCACACCTGCCCCTTTCCCACACCGCTAACAGTGTTTCTGTAGCTGTTCCAGGGACCTGGCATGGTTATAAATATTGAAGGTGACTAGAAACACTGAAGGAAAAAAAATCAGTTTTAACCGAATGTAGAATAAACAGCTTTCCAAGAATAAAGTGTGACAAAATAAGTGTTAACAGCTAGAAAGGCTTCATTGAGTGCTTTGCCGACTGACATGGGCAATCATGCCTTTCCACAACCTGCGATCTCCAACAGCATGTATCAGTGTACATAGACCCCTCCATGTCATGACAACAAAAGTCTGTCAAGAATCATCTCACATTGTCTTCCTCTGTCACTTTTTCCACAGAATCTTTTCAATGTGTCTTTGAGCCCTCGCCTCTTTCCATGCATCAAGGTTGCTCGTTTTTTTGGCTTTCAATGTGTCTTTGAGCCCTCGCCTCTTTCCATACATCAAGGTTGCTCGTTTTTTTGGCTGTCCAATGAATTCTTTTGTAACTACACCCTGGAGGCCTCAAGAAATTGTTTATTAATCGTCCAGGATTCACAGCCATGTTTTATATACATATATATATATATATACACACACAGCATGTGAAAATTCTTTTTTTTAAAACTCTAGTGACATGAATTTATTGCAAAAAATGCCTTTTTTTTAAATATAAAACGAAACAGTTCCATAAAAATGACTGAGAACCGTTGAAGAGCCGAAGTCCCGGCAGTCGGAAAATCAAAAAAAAGGCACAAGGATATATGAAGGCTACACTTACAGTGTAATTGTGGTTTGCATCACTATACTTGAGTGTGGGCTTCAGTGAGACAGGCAAACATTCTCCCCAAGATGATTTGTACAAATGGTGGTTTAATGGTTTTATAACAATACACAGAGGGCTGCATGTCAGGGACTGAGTTTAGATCAGTGTTTCCTATTTAGTGGTCCGCAATCTCATTTAAGGGTCCGTCATATAATGGGTTTTTCCAAAAAACATCTCACTTGAGAATTGGGGGGGGGGGGGGGGGGGGGGTTGTCTTTCATATTTATAAATTCCAATAAATTTTTTAGTATGACTATTAAAAAGTATGGAGTCTGTGGCAGACCTTTGCAAAATAAGAGAAAAGACCCCCCCCCCCCCCCCCCCCTACCCCCCCCCCTCCCCCCTTAGCTATTTGAGAATCACTGGTTTATATGGCTACCAGTTCTAACATTTCCTGTAGAAAACTAAAAAATGAAGCAGTGATTCTGTGTATGATCATGTTTACTGGTGTTTGTTTAGAACATAACAATGAAGGATGTGGTTAGATGAATGAGAATCTTTATTGGTGTTTGTTTAGAACATAACAATGAACGAAATGGTTAGATGAATGAGAATCTTTATTAGTGTTTGTTTAGAACATAACGATGAAGGATGTGGTTATATGAATGAGAATCGTTATTAGTGTTTGTTTAGACATAACGATGAAGGATGTGGTTATATGAATGAGAATCGTTATTGGTGTTTGTTTAGACATAACAATGAAGGATGTGGTTATATGAATGAGAATCTTTACTGGAGTTTGTTTAGAACATAACAATGAAGGAGGTGGTTAGATGAATGAGAATATTTACTGGTGTTTGTTTAGAACATAACAATGAAAGATGTGGTTAGATGAATGAGAATCTTTTTAAGTGTTTGTTTAGAACATAACAATGAAAGATGTGGTTAGATGAATGAGAATCTTTACTGGTGTTTGTTTAGAACATAACAATGAAAGATGTGGTTAGATGAATGAGAATCTTTTTAAGTGTTTGTTTAGAACATAACAATGAAAGATGTGGTTAGATGAATGAGAATCTTTACTGTTAGTGTTTGTTTAGAACATAACAATGAAGGATGTGGTTAGATGAATGAGAATCTTTTTAAGTGTTTGTTTAGA